AGAAAACTATTAACTAGGAGCTAGTGCGATGGTATGTCAGGCTACATCTCTGCCTGTTGTGTCAGCATCCTACATGAACACTGCTCTACTTCTGACCCTGTCTGTGGCCTGGAAAAGCAGTGGAGAATGGCTCAAGCGCTTGGGTTCCTGCACTCACGTAGCAGACCAGCAAGAAGCTTCCTAGCTTCAGACCAGCCTAGCTTCAGTCATTATGGTCATTTAGGAAGTAAACCAGTGGACCAAAAACTGTCTCTCTCTTTTTCCTTCTGTAACTCTGCCTTTTAAGTTAAAAAAAAAATCTTAAAAAATATATAGCTAAATGGGAATTTGAAAACTAACAATTGCAGTATTTGAAAAAAGGCTGGAAAAACAAGTTTTCTGTGCTGTACACTGGAAGGGTACACCATGGGGCTAGACATTGATCACAGATGGCCAGGTATTCAAAGGACACCTGACAGGAAATGTGGGCATCCTCTCCAGCCTGTGACTCAGTCCTATCTAGCGTGGAACATCCTGATAGACAGAAAGTACGAGAAGTGATGACTCTCTTACTCCCTTCTGCATTCTGCCTTGAACACTGTTGCCTCATGAGAACACATTGCTGCCTGGAGCAAAGGCAGTCACTTTGCAGCCTTGGGGGATTAGAAAGGCAGGCGGAAACGGAAGCCAGAGCCCTGATGCTACAGATCTATCTGCTCAACAGCCTAGCGGGGAACTACCTGCATCTGGAATTCCTGTCTCATCAGACAACAAATGACTGTGAGCTGGTCTTCATTAATACTAGTCAAGATATATCCTAACTAAAACATGCTTCTCTTGAAAATGGGGAGATCTGGCAGTACCTGGGTACATACACCTACTCCAACACTGGTGCACTCATCCCCTTTACACAGAGCAGGAAGTCTTCAATCTGAGGACACGTGGTTCACATAGATAACTGAATGCAATCCTCTGCCCCACAGATCTTTCCAGAAATGGCTCAATCACCTCCCTTTCTACAAAGCACTCCCCACTTCCTGCCCCCTTACCCCAGCTCCATCCAGGCAGCAGTGACTTCTCTTTCATTCCCTCCAACTTGGCCACAGGGACCACGCCTCCTGAATCCTGGAGACTCCCAGAGTATACCCTTGCAGAGTGAACAAACACTCCTTGTAGTGAAAGGCAATGCTCTTGAACAGCCCGCATCCCATTCTCCAAGCTCACCAGGAGTTCTGTGCTTTGCACTGGCAGCCAGTCCAACTTCTCCATCCAGCAAAACAATTCCCCATCCATACGCCCAGCCGCCACTGCCACTGGAGCACACACCCAGTAGTCAACACCCTGAAGCCGGGTGTCAGATGTGATCGCAACCCTTCAGCTCTCCTCTTGCTCAGAAAGCAGGTGAGGATAAAGGCGTCTGACTGCCCGAGACCCTTTGCACAGTGGCTACCACAAACTCCAGGGAAAGATGGATGTTTATAGACATCCAAACCTCCATGTTTCAGCTAAGAGAATGGTCAGGCGACTTGAAAACACATCACAGACCCTAGTGACATTGTACAGTCCCACCCCAAGACCTGTGCCCCTGAGCTGTCCATGCCCACAGGGAGCAACCAGGCTGCTGGCAAATCCTGAGGATTCGGACTTCCTTTGCTACCAACCTTGATTCTAACTTAATCGTAGATATCTTCTCTGGAGTGGTGCTTTCCTCTTCTTAAAATTTTTAATTTCTGGGCCAGTGCTGTGGCATAATAGCCTAAGTTTTCACTTTATGTGCCAACATCCCATACGAATGTCAATTTGTGCTCCACTTACAACCCATTTCCCTGCTAATGAGCCTGAAAAATTAGTGGAAAATGCCTTTGTGACAAGATGTCCTTGAGCCCCTGTACCCATGTGGGAGGCTTAGCAGAAGCTCCTGGCTCCTAGTTTCAGCTTAGCCACGTCTGTTTGTGACCATTTGGGGAGTAAACCGTTGGATGGAAGAGCTCTATCTCCCTTTCTGAAATTCTGCCTTTCGAATAAAAAATAAAATATATCTTAAACAAATTTTAATTTATCTACTTTTATTTTGTTTGAAAGACAGACAGGCACACACAGAGTTTGAGCTAGTCCATGATGAAACTGGTAGCCTGGTACTCAACCTATGTGGTTTCTCATGAGATGGCAGAGACTGAAAAACTTATGCCATGACTACTACCTCCTAGAGTGTGCATTAGCAGAAAGGTGAAATCAGAAGTGGAGCCATGATTTGAGCCCAGGCATTCTGATATGGGAGGTAGACATCCCATGAGGTGGCTTTAACTGTTGAAACAAACAGTTGCCCCAGTGACTGAGTTTTAGTTCAAGCTTCTGGTAGACTTTTTTTCCTGACACCTGTTGATTGATCTTAAACAAGTCTTGTTTGTTTGTTTGCTTGTTATCAGCTGTGGTAAAATACATATAATGTAAATTTTTCCATCTTAGTCACTGTGAAGTGTACAAATTAATGACATTAAGTACATTCATGACATTGTATAACCATCACTCCTAGCCATCTCCAAAACTCTCTCATCAGGGGCAGGAATTCACCCTAGCAGTTAAAACGCTGGCTAATTTGCCTGCATCCTATAAAAGACTCGGCCCCTGACTCTAGCTTCCTGCTAATGCATACCCTGATAAACAACAGGGGTTGGCTCAAAGAGCGTGAGTCACTGCCACTCACATAGCATACCTAGATTAAGTTCCTGGCTCTCAACTTCAGTTCAGTCCAGTCCTGCTCACTGTGACATCTGGGAAGTGAACCAGTGGATGGAAGTGCTCTTCTACTTGCTCACTCACTTTGTCTCCCCCTCTCCATCTCTCAAGTTAAAAAGAACATATTAAAAACATTTGCATCAGTTGAATCGACTCTGTATCTATTTAACCCTAAGGCCCCCATTCAGCCCCTCCCCAGTCCCAGATAAATATCATTCCATTTTACCTCTAAACATTTCACTACACTGGGTCCTTCCCACTTCCATGGATCATATGGCATATGCCCTTTTGTGTCTTGGTTATTTCATGCCATGCAATTCCCTCAAGCCTTGAGCGTTGCCTGTGTTGCAACACGTGTTGGAATTTTCTTGTGAAGAATGTTTCAATGTATGTGAATACTACTTGTTGCCTATCCATTCACCTACAGATGTGTGAGATGCTGCTGCTTTTTTTTGCTTTTTTTTTTTAAGATTTATTCTTATTATTTTATTTTATTGGAAAGGCAGATTTACAGAGAGAAGGACAGACAGACAGAAAAATCTTCCCTCCACTGGTTCACTCCCCAAAAGGCCACAATCGGCTTAACTGAGTTGATCTGAAGTCAGGAGCTTTTTCTGGGTTTCTCATGCAGGTTCACGGTCCCATGGCTTTAAGCCATCCTTCATTACTTTCCTAGGTCACAAGCAGGGAGCTGGTGGAAAGTAGAGCAGCTAGGACACGAACCTATGTCCATGTGGGATCCCAGAGCTTGCAAGGTAAGAATTTAGCCACTGAGCTATCACACCAGGCCTACGTGGGCTGCTTCTACCTCTCGGCTCCCAGGAATGTTGCTCCAGGTGTAAGCATCCAGGCAAGGCCCTGTTTCTTCGTGGCTCTGACCATCCATGACTTTTCCCCCATTAATCCAGATCCTGACCTTGGTATGCAATTCTCTAGGACAGGCTCTATGGTCCTGGGCAATGAACTACAGTGCCAGGCTGGGCTCTCAAATGATGTCCCTGGAAACACTTTCAGTGGTGGAGGGGGCAGGGAACAGGCACTGATCTGACCAACAGCATTCCCCAACCTCCAGCCCCCACCGGAAGGCAAATGAGGAACAATGTGGCCAGCAGCAAAGGCAAACAAGCCATACCCTGTGCGGTTGTGGAGGAGACACATAGCACTGCACAGAGGAGAGGAACAGCATAAGACAGGCCTCTGTTCCCCGAAAGGGCAGGCGCACCGCCCTGAAGAAGGCCCCAGGGGCTCCAATGGGCAGCCTAGGCTGCAGGGCCAGAGGTTACGCAAAGGGAGAGAGGAGGCCAAGACTGGCACTATTCAGCAACTTGTGAGAGGGACCCGTGGCAGGGATGGGCTGGGGGAGTCTGGAATGTTCTAGTCTGACAGATGGCCCCTGGCTCAGCCAACTCCTGAAGCAGAAGAGGCATAAAGTAACAGAGTTACAGGGCCAGGGACTCTCAATGCACCCTGTGGCTACGGGTATGGTTGGGTATGGTCGTTGTGTGCTGCAGGGTGGTGAGCAGACTACCAGTGCAGCACAGGCAGGGCCATGGGCACCCAGGAATCCTTCTCACCCTGTGCTGCTAGCCACTTTTAAATGGCTATATGATATTTTCTGGTGCCAAAATGTCTAGGTTTAGGTGCCAAGTGATGACAGCCTTGGGAAGAGCACAGTTGCTAAGGGGAAAATTAATTACTCCTGAGGAACTTTCAACATCTTAAAGGGTGCAGACAACTTAAGTATGTCCCCTTAAATGCCATGGCTGAGGAACAGATTCAAGCTTCTCATTACAGCCTAGACCCAGTTGAGGGGCTCGACTGTCGCTGGAGCAGCCAAGGGAGGTGCCCAGTGATGAGGAGGGGGGGTTTACCTTCGGGGCTCCCCCTCCCAGACGCCAACCAGAACAACTGCCTTCATTCAGGGAACAGGCTTAGCCCCTCCCAAACACACAGGTGCTTCCCGAAGAACTGTCCCCCTGCAACCCAGAGACTGCCCCAAGTGTGAACTCACATTTCTGGACTGCTCTGGGATCCCAGGAGACTATGAGGTCAGCCTGGACTTGGACATGGAGACCAGGTCTGAGGTCAGACCAAGGTGCCAATGAGCCGGCCAGCTCAGCTTTTTACAGACACTGGAGCCAAGGCTGAAGATGGCCCTGATGTCGCCATGGCCCTGTGACACAATGTCCCTACCAACATCCCCAGTATGCTGGGAGGTGCTGAGTGTGCTGTATGTACAGATACTGGGGGTGGGGACAGTCTCCACCTCGCACCCAAGTACTGACCGGACTGACAGAAGAGCCCATCCACACTGAGATCCCAGAGGAGGTCAAAGGCTCTTGAAGAAGTTTCTGGAGGCCATGTCAGAAGCTAAGAGGAAATAACAAAAACAGAAGCAGGTGAGCAGTGTCATTCCTGTGGAGTAATGGCAACCAATCTCTATTACCCCATGTTAAATAAATCCCTTTCATCCTGACAAGTCCACGTAGTAAAAGGTTATTGTCATTGTTGTCATCTTACAGATGCAGAAAGGTTAAGCAACTTCCCTTGGGTCACACAGTTAATAAGTAGCAAAGCAAGGACTAACAGCCAGGTCTGTGTGACATCTGGGTCCTTCTGCCTTTCACTGCTTGTGGCCACAGCCATGTCGCTGTAGGACAGAGGTCAGTGTAGAGGACAGAAAAGAACAAGCTTGCAACCACCAACTCTAGTCAGCTGGGCCCTGCAGTCTGATTCTTGAACCACTTCTGCTTGGGTGCCTTCATTTAAGTCATATGAGACCATTGGCTTGGAAAATCCTCATCTTGAGCACATATCAACAAACTCCCAACAACCTCAAATGATTGGAACCCTCGAGTCCTGGGGCCCTGTCTTGGGGGTCTGGGATACAGAGAGGGGATGCCACACAGACAAACAAGGGCACAGCACCAACCCACGACGCTGTCTTGCCTGGGGACACACAGACAAGGCCAGGCCCAGAGGTGGAGCTCCTGCCAGTGGCTGGCTACCCCTTCTCCTGTGCATGCTGACAACAGCCGGCAGTAGGGGTGCTGTAGGCAAACCCCCACCACCCTTTCAGAGACTGAGGTGTTGATTTCCCAAGCGAATGAAAGCTACTCCTGACCTTGGAGGGAGCACCTAGCCCAAGATCATCACATTTCCAAGTGCAGCCTGTGTCTGATAACAGGCTGATGTTGGGGGTCCAAGAACCTGAAGTCACTACCTCAACTGAGACGACCTCAAAGGACCACCAGCTTCTGGAGACCCTCCTACTCTGGCCTAGCTCCAAGACTTTCTGAGGCCCCTCTCTGCACTGCCTCTCCCTCGGCCACATCTACTGCCTTTTCCGTCACAGCCAGGCCAACTGGAAGCCTCCAATACAACCTACAGGAAAGCCATGGTCTCAGAATCCAGAACTCTGCCTTTCTCCTTCCTCTGTGAACTTCTTGTAGCTTTTATAGCTGAACACTTGATTTTTTCCACCAGAAACAGAAATTCACTAAGGACATCTCTTATCCTCTTGTATCCATCTTCCCAGGTGACACGCACTCACAAGTACACATGAGGTGGACAGGCCCACAAAGTCAAGAACACTGAGGTTGAAGCCTGTCACCTCAACTCACGAGAACACCTACTGGAGCCCCTGGGAGGATGCAGCAGGACCAAGACTTCAGGGGAACTCAGCACGTCCTTTCAGAGAAAGCAGGCAAATGGGCAGCTCTGGAGAGGACAGACTCACCCGTTCCTAGCTCCTACAATGGATGGCAGCTGTACATGAGGGACTGCAGCCCTGCTGACCCAGCTGCCTTTGATGGGATTGGACCACTGAACCCTATCAGGAAAACCACATTCTCTTCCTGGGGAATTCAGATTTGTGAGCATGGCCTGGCCTTACTTGGCCAGGCATCCTGGTGAGGAAAGAGAAGCAGAGGCCTGTCCCAACATCCTGATGCTTTTCCATCCTGGTTCCAGCTTCTCCTGAGCCCCAGCCACATCCCTGTCCTGGGGTCCTACAAACCGCTCCCATACCTATATGTACTCTGGCACCTAAGAATCCCCTGGCAGATGCAGGAAGCCCACATGATTTCTGCCTCTTGCTTCTGAAATCCACAGAGTATACTCCCCGGAGATCTCCTGAAGCTGCCTGTCCTCCTCTCACTAACCTGGCTTTAGCCATGGTGGGAGAAGAGGCTTGGCCCTCGTGCCCACAGAATGTGAACTTGGGACTTGGTGATGACATCATTCCTTGCAGATGATGCCAGGTCCTGAGTTCAGCCATGGGCAAGGCAGTCCACAAAAGGTTGCCTACTTCACTTCCGCATGGCACCATCAACCCCACTGGACAGTGAGAAACTGAGGCATGAGGCAGATTCTGAGGAACATGCCCAAAGTGACTGAGCTTGCACCTTGTCTATTCAGCCTCAAGGCTGGGTTGGGGACAGGGAACGGGTTGGTGGTGGGGGACTCTGGGGCCGCAGGACCTCATGAAGACTGAGCCACCAGACAAAGGGCACTCCATGCTGTGTCAGGGTCACACAAGGCCCCTCTGTAGATGCCCTCTCAGATGGGCTCTTTGTGCCTCCCAATGCCCAATTGTGTGCTTTGTCATCTGCTGTGCAAGCAGCAGAGAGAAGCTGCACTGGCTGGGGTGCAGAATAATGGGCACACTGTTCCCTGCTGCTTACCATCCACTCCCACCAAGCCATGGGGGAGAGGCGGGGGAGAAGGATGGGAGATGGGGCACAAGAGCCTCAGGAGCCTGGGGTCTTTCTCCTCTGTGACAGGCACCAGTGCACAAGAAGGCTCTGTCCGGAAGGTGGCCAATGTGCTGGGGGGGGGGGGATGACTTCCTTGAATCTGTCCTTCACTGTGGCTCTCATTTACAGCTGGGGTCCAGGCTCCAACTGGCAGCAACAGTTATTAGCTGTAACTTGGGAACAGCCCATTGCCAGGCCAGCCAGCACCCTCATGCCAGGCATTCAGATCACAGCAGCTGGTTCCTGGGCCATCCCTGCTGGTCTCTCACTTTCTCTGCCTCAAAGCTGCAAGCCCTAAGCAAAGCAGTTATTCCCCACTCAGGCAAAATGTTACAATGGATAGCCAGAGGAGAAGATACTGGGGCAGGCATCTCTACAGTTTCAGGGTTCTCTGGCTGACAGAGAATTGCACGAGTGGGAAGCAGGTGCTCAAATCCACCAGTACCCTTGGCTTTTAAATTTGTGCACACTCCCACCCACCTCAGGGTGTTGCCTGTGGACTAGAGGACCCTGACTCCTGGGTAGAAGAGAGTTTTGACACAATATAAGCCTTTGTGAGGAAGCATGCAATAGTCAGACCCCCAGTGCACTGGGAGCACCAGGACCCTATGGAAAGCTAGGCTGGGCTTCCGGGTGACAACACCCCAGGAGGTGTACACTGAAGGGGAGGCAGAGGCTGAGGCCACACCTAAGTCCCCTAGAATGAACAATCCATCCGCTTTCTTCTCTCAGGCATTACAAGAAAAGGTTAACGCCCAGCTCAGCCCCTCTCCTACAGCCTGGTTGTGGCTATGAGGCTGCAATGCTCCCGCCACCTAGCGGTGGGTTTGGCCCTCACCTGGAACAGCCAGCGCAGCAGGGGCACTGGGCAGTCACTTCTGTGCAGGTAGAGGTTGCTCAGCAGGCCACTGTGTAGAAAGGACAGCTGCTGGAATGGCGGGGAGCTGGGGGACAGAGCGACAAGGTTAGTAAAAGTCCATAGGAAATTCTCATATCTCAGCTTGTCCCAAACGCTAAGGGCAAACAGGCTTTTCCAGTCCTCCACATGAGGTGTCTTCATCAGAGCAGCCTACTTACTGTAAGGGCTTTTCACGAACATTCCTCAGGTTGTGTGTGTCTGCGTGTGTGTATGTATGTGTTTTTCTTAAATTTATTTTTTTATTTCAATGCAAGAGTTACAGAGAGTAAGGCTGACAGCAAAAAAAGGGATCTTCCATCTGCTGGATTACTTCCCAAATGCCTGCCATGGCCAGGGCTGGGTCAGGCTGAAGCCAGGAGCCAGGAACTCTATCCGGGTCTCCCATGTGGGTGGCAGGCATACAAATACTTGGACCACCATCTACTGCTTTCCCACGTGCATTAGCACAGAGCTGGACTGGCATTTGAACCAGCTCTCTGAAATGGAGTGTCAGCACTGGCAGTAGCAGCTTAATACACTGCACCATGTCAGTTCTGTATGTGCTGTTTGATGGCCTCTGCTGACTGGTGCTCCAGTGGTCATTCTAGAGGGACTGGATGAAGTTGCTCACCTTTCCCAACTCCTGCTCATGGCCAACCAGACAGACCAGATGGGTGGGATGCTTTGCTGCTTTCTCTTCGTTTTAAAAATCCTTAATCATTTACAATTTTTATGGACATGTAATATTTGGGAGGTTTTACACGGGACAGTGCAGTATTGCAACAATGCATAAACTAGTCAAGGCAGGCCAACAGCAAGCCTTCCTACAGATCCTTATTTTCTGTGTTTGGAGGTACCAGCTCTTGGTTCTCCCTTTCAATGGCCAGATCCACACAAAAGAACACTGCAGGGCCTGGTGCACTAGCCTAGTGGCTAAAGTCCACATCAGGATCCCATATGGGCACTGGTTTTTGTTCCAACAGCCGTGCTTCCCATTCAGCTTCCTGCTTGTGACCTGAGAAAGCAGTTGAGGACAGCCCAAAGCCTTGGGACCCTGCACCCGTGTGGAAGATCTGGAAGAAGCTCCTGGCTCCTGGCTTCAGATCAGCTCAGCTCTGGCCATTGCAGATACTTGGGGAATGAATCAGTGGATGGAAGATCTTCCTCTCTGTCTCTCCTCCTCTCTGTATATCTCACTCTCCAATAAAAATAAACAAATCTTTTAAAAAAAAAAGAACACTGCAGATACTGTTTTAACATCCTGACCCTAGATGGAAATTTCCTTGCTCAACCCAGTCTCTTCCTCTTTCTCCTCCTCTTCCTTCCCTTCCCCCACCCCTCTTTTTTTTTTTCCTTTTTAAAAAGCAATCCTACTTCAATCTGCTAGGAACGGAACACTCCATAGCAAAGATCATCTCAGCCAAGCTGCTGTCTCCTTGAGTATGTCCAGGCAATGTACAAAGTATGTGTGTTTTCTTCCCCAAGTCATTTGAGTTCAGAGGAGAAAACAGCTTTGTTCCTGTGCTTATGAAGTTTACTGTTCACAAACAGACCTTGATGTGTGCATCCAAACACGTGTGACGCCCAGGGCTGCTGGCACACTCCACTCTGCCCCACGTGCCTGGTCACATGGGTGTTCTCACAGAACTGACCCTGAGATGCAGGCTTTTAAGCACATGCACAATAGCCAAGTAAACAAAGTCTGGAGGGCCTTGCAAATTGGCAGGACCCCAGCAGAGGCCATGTGGCAAGGAGGCCGGCACTCCAGGGGCACTTAAGAGATTCTGGCATGGTGCAGTGGGCAAGGGGAGGGCACCCTGCCAGTGTCTCAGTGGGGCGGTGGTACAAGTCCCCATTGGCTCAGAGCAAAGCGTCTGTACTGGCAGCTTTATGTGAGATACGCCCTTGGGTTGCAATGTCTCCCTCCTGCTAGGCAGCTCTTACAGCACAGCTTCTGCCAGAGAAATGATTTGATCCATCTGCCTCTGCGTTCATTACTGCTGAGCTGCGTTTCATCTGGCAGCTCTCAGGAGAAAGGGAGAACCAGCAGAACCTTGGACCTGCTCTGCCTCAGAGTGAGCGAGTGGCTTTCAAGGAACTCTACACAGGGCTCAGTGAGCTATCTCCTGTGTAGCCCGGGTCCTGAGCCAGTGCGTGTGCTTGCTCGGTGCCAAGGGAGTGCTGCTTCACTTCCGCTGAACCACAGGAGCCCTCCACCTGGTGGTCACCAAGGTAACCTCGGTGACCTCAAGCTTGCTGTACTATGGGAATAGTCTCGTTCGTGCGTGCGCAGACACTGCTGTGACTCAGAGCACAGTGGCAGAGAGGCAAGTGGATGGGAAGCTCGAAAAGCTGTGGGTGATTCAATCAGATGGTATCAGATTTACAAACACCCGTGCCGTGTTTCCACATCAAGAAGACAGACCCTGAGTCCGGATGGGTGCCTTTGCTCATGGCTGCGCTGATGTTGAGGTCAGAAATCATGCTGAGAATGCCAGAGGACCTTGGAGTGAGAAGGAGGAAGGGCAGCAGGTGCCACACAGGCCTAGCTGGGTGTGAAGCGCCCAGCTGTCACCCCTGACGATCCCAGAGAAGGGAGGCTCCCGCCCAGGTCTTTAGCTATGAATGGAGATGAGAGGAGGACAGGGAGCAGCCACAGTCAAGAGCACTGCTAATCCCTAGCCACGACAGCAATGACAGAGGGCAGATGCCTGCCTTCCCCGCCCTGCCTCCCCCTTAGTGCCCACTAGAGCAGAAGCAAGGAGGGAAGGAAACTGGCCCCAAAGGGGAAACACACAAACAGGAGGCACTGAACTGGGGACCGGCTTGCTGGGCTCCTGGAGCTGCACAGCTCCAGCCTCCTCCTTGACATTTCTGTCCCTGACAGAGTCCAGGGAGGATTCTTCCAGCCTCTCCCTCCTCATCTATTTGATGGGCAGCAGTCCCAGAGGGCACAGTCTCTAAATGCCTTGGGATCCCAGTGATGGCAGGAGGATAAACACCGAGCATAGTTATTTACATAGGCTCTGTTGCCGGCCCTCTGCCAAGTTATTCAAGTCAAAGTTTGATACAATGCCTCAGCAGAACATAAACAAACGGCCAGTGCTTTGCTCCATAACCCCTGCCTTTTCTCTTCTACATTTCTTTTTAATTTTTATTTAAAACACACACACACCCCACTTCTGATGGGAGAGAGACACAGAAATAGAGTGATTCACTGGCCCGTTCCCTTAATGCCTACAACAGCCAGGGTTAGGCCAAGCTAGGGCCAAGAGTCTAGCAACTCCATCTGCGTCTCTCACATCAGGAACCCAAGTCCTCCAGTTATCACCTGCTGCCTCCCAGAGTTCGCATGAACAGGAAGCTGGATGGAAAGCAGAGCCAGGTCTCAAACCCACATACCTGAGGTAAGATTTGAAAATCCCAGGAAGGGGCTTCACTGCTATGCCAAGTGGCTACCTGTTACCAATTTTTCTTTCCTTTCTTTTAAAGAGACTTAAATACTACCTTGGTAACAAGCCCGTATTGCTGCCCTCTCTTGCTCTTCCTTCATGTGGACACCGGCAGCCAGTACAAAGTTTCAGCCTACACTCCAGACTAGCCAGATATGCCTCAGCTGCACTTCATTCTGGGATGACAGGTGCACAAGAGCCAGTTAAGCCAACAAAGCTCCATCTCCTGCCTACCCTACCTGCTAGAAAACTGCAGGAATACCCAGCCTGGACTTAGAGCTGTGGGGGAGCGCCTGGTCCGCATACCAGCAGGTAGCAGATAAACCCACCTGAAAAATTTGGGCCCCAACACACCTAAGAGGCCCTGAAGGAACTGGTGACTATTTAAGCAGGCAGAAGTTTGTATCTGCCCTGAGTTGTACTGTTTTGGGTTTGGGTCCTGACTTACGCTCTTGTAATCAGCAATATTTTAAGGCCTGCTGTCAAGGGAGTTGGGAAGAGCTCAGCTTTGGTTTCTGGAAACTGACCTGAGGTCATACATTCTGCCCTGTGATGGATGAGAATTGGTCACCTGGGCCGTCTCCAGCTGCACATGAACCTGTGTAGGTCCATGGAGAAGCCACTTGGACTCAGACACCAAGTCTATGGATATATGCTGTGCAATCTTAGAAAAGTGTCTCATGTAATCTGTATCTATATTTTGCATTTGATTTAGAAGAAGAGAATTGACTTGTCTCCCTCTATTGATAGAAATGATAGGTGTTCACTGTAGGAAGAAATTCAGAGGAGGATGAGGAAAATAAAAAGCTACCAGTTGGGCCTGGCACAGTAGCCTAGCAGCTAAAGTCCTTGCCTTGCACGTGCCAGGATCCCATGTGAATGCTGGTTCTAACCCTGGTGGTCCAACTTTCCAGTAAAAATAAATCTTAAAAATAAAAAGTTAACCTTAATGGGTACAAAGGTAGCTTTTTTTTTTTTTGGTTAAAGATTTTATTTTTATTGGAAAAGCAGAGAGGCAGGAGAGGCAGAGAGGAAGATCCTCCATTCACTGGTTCATTTTCCAAATGCCTGCAATGGCCAGAGCTGAGCTGATCTGAAGCTGGAAACCAGGAGCCTCCTCCAAGTTTTCTACATGGGTACAGAGTCCCAAGGCCTTGGGTTGTCCTCTACTGCTTTCCTAGGCCACAAACAGGGAGCTGGATGGGAAGTGGAGCAGCCAAGACACTAAATGGCACCCATATGAGATCCCAGCATGTGCAAGGTGAGGATTTACTCACTGAGCCATTGTGCTCGGCCTGGTTAACTTTTTATATGGCAAAATTGACCCAACTGTTTCTTAAGGGACATAATCAAGGAAGGCAAGTGTTGTGGCACAGCAGGTTAAATAGGTCTTTGATGTTAGCATCCCATTTGAGCACCAGACTGCTCTGTTTCTGATACAGCTCCCTGATAATGTATCTAGAAAAGCAACACAAGATAGCCCAAGTACTTAGACCCCTGCCACCTAGGCTGGAGGGCGTCCCAGGCTGGAGGGTGTCCCAGGCTTCTGGCTTCAGCCTGGCCCAGCCCAGGAACACTTCAGGAGTGAACCAAT